ATGGCAAATTCAAGTCTACTCAGAAAGACGAATCTAGTCCCGGAGAGCTGCAAACAACATATTTTGACAAGTGGTGATTGGGATGATAAGACTGATGAGAGGCGAATGAACACATGCAGACCGACATTGTTGGCGTCACAGAGTTGTCCCCAAGTTCTGTATTGGAGACACCATTCCATGAAGTTTGCATGGAAAGAAAGGCACAGCAACAACAGTCTGCAACTGAGAGAGATATGACTGGTATGTTGTCCCTGCTCAGTAGTGACTTAAATCAGTACTTAACAGAAAAGCCAATGGCAATTCAAAGCCACCCAGAAGACGATCTAGTCCGGGAGAGCTGCAAACAAACTATTTTGACAAGTGGTGATTGGGATGATAAGACTCATGGAGAGGCGAATGAACACGTGCAGACCAACATTGTTGGCGTCACAGATTTGTCCCCAAGTTCTGTATTGGAGACACCATTCCATGAAGTTTGCATAGAGAGAAAGACACAGCAGCAACAGTCTGCCACTGAGAGGGATATGACCGGTATGTTGTCCCTGCTCAGTAGTGACTTAAATCAGTACTTAACAGAAAAGCCAATGGCAATTCAAAGCCACCCAGAAGACGATCTAGTCCGGGAGAGCTGCAAACAAACAATTTTGACAAGTGGTGATTGGGATGATAAGACTGATGGAGAGGCGAATGAACACATGCAGACCGACATTGTTGGCGTCACAGAGTTGTCCCCAAGTTCTGTATTGGAGACACCATTCCATGAAGTTTGCATGGAAAGAAAGGCACAGCAACAACAGTCTGCAACTGAGAGGGATATGACTGGTATGTTGTCCCTGCTCAGTAGTGACTTAAATCAGTATTTAACAGAAAAGCCAATGGCAATTCAAAGCCACCCAGAAGACGATCTAGTCCGGGAGAGCTGCAAACAAACTATTTTGACAAGTGGTGATTGGGATGATAAGACTGATGGAGAGGCGAATGAACACATGCAGACCGACATTGTTGGCGTCACAGATTTGTCCCCAAGTTCTGTATTGGAGACACCATTCCAAGAAGTTTGCATAGAGAGAAAGACACAGCAACAACAGTCTGCCACTGAGAGGGATATGACCGGTATGTTGTCCCTGCTCAGTAGTGACTTAAATCAGTTCTTAACAGAAAAGCCAATGGCAATTCAAAGCCACCCAGAAGACGATCTAGTCCAGGAGAGCTGCAAACAAACTATTTTGACAAGTGGTGATTGGGATGATAAGACTGATGGAGAGGCGAATGAACACGTGCAGACCAATATTGCTGGCGTCTCAGAGTTGTCCCCAAGTTCTGTATTGGAGACACCATTCCAAGAAGTTTGCATAGAGAGAAAGGCACAGCAACAACAGTCTGCAACTGAGAGGGATATGACTGGTATGTTGTCCCTGCTCAGCAGTGACTTAAATCAGTATTTAACGGAAAAGCCTGTGGTGATACGTTGCCAGACAAAAGAGGAAGAGGTCTATGAGCACTTTGAAGACGTTATACTTACAAAAGATACTGATACATTATTCCCTGAATATAATATTATGTCACCAGATAAAAAAGCAGACTTTGGGAATCTCAATGACAAGGGAGCTATAGAAAGTGGATGGAAGACAACATCCCACGAAGATGAAAGGCCAAAGAGTTTTACACCTGAGGAGGAGGAGGAGGAGGCTAAACACTCACCAAGTTCACATTTTAGTGACTCAACTGAAGGGGCAGTTGGCAATACAAAGCCATATGTGACAACGGATGACTCCAACAATGATCAGAAAGATGTTGCAGAGTCAATTCTCAAAATAAACGATTTTTACCAAATAACAAACCGGTTTGACACATTGCAACGTCCCGACAATTTGGGGAACCTAAACACTGTGTTTTCTGGTGACCCAGCTGAAGAGCTTTGTCACAAGACTCGCTAGAGACAAGTCCTCAAAAGGACGATGGATCTTCAAACAAATCGCCTGATTCCATTGAGCCAAGCCCTACCGGAGAATCCCCTAGTCCAGACTCTCTTGAGGAAAGTCCTACTCTATCAAAAGATCCAGAACCTAAGAGGCCAGCCAAGACAGCTGTGTATGAGGATTATGCATCCCAGCTGAAAGCATGTTATGCTTCTGACACAAACCTGTACACGGATGAAATAGAGCAAGAAGAGCAAGAAAACGCATATGGGATCGTCCAAATGGAAGGTAAGACAAAGGACCTACATTCTTACACAGCACAGACGGAAACCGATGGCAGCACGTATTCCGGCACCGAAATATGTGACAGTGAAAATCTTCAGTTGCTCATAAGGCAAGACTCTCTTGATGAAGATGATATAGAGGATGAGACCATCAGTAGACAGTTCACCCCAGAAGAGGAGATGTTTAAAATGGCTGCAAAGATCCAAACATATGATGAGATGGAACAGGAGGCTAAAATAAAGAGAGACAAATCAGAGGCAGGTGGTCTCAGAAATGAGGAATCTGATCAAAAACAATTTGCACAGCTTGATGCTGAAAATCCACCAGATGATAAAACACCCAATCAAACACCAGGTAACGAGAGAACTGCAGATCCATTTCAGTTTCAAGAGGGGAAGCTTTTTGAGATGACCAGAGGGGGAGCTATTGATATGACAAGAAGAAGTTTTGATGAAGGGGAAGGATATGCATTTTTTCATATGGACGAACATCCTGTTGATGAGGTTGTGCCAGAGGAGTCTGAGGAATGTAAAACAAAGTATCTAGCTTTAGAGAATAGTGATTATATTTCAGATGCAACCCTTGACGAGATCCCTGAATCAGAATTAACTCATGGTGACGATGACACAATTCCTACTCCCAAACCCAGAACTCTCGTCAAACCCTCAAGTGACAAGTCAGCAAGAGAGATGCGCCTCTTTGAAGCTGATCTTGGTGGTTCCACAGATGTCCATCTTAGTTCCCCAGGTGCTTTGGAGAAACTGACCAACATTCAAAGTGAGGTCGGAAACCTTGGTCTAGGCTACCTAGATTCAACCATAGCTGACCTCCATTCAGCGTACTCCGAGCAGAGCCATGATTCATCAGACTCCTCTCCTGAGGAGGAGGAGGAGGAAGATGAAGAAGACCAGTGCTCAGTTATAGAGATGTCTGTGGCAGAGGCCAGTATCTCAGCATATCATCAGGATCCACCCGCCGCTTTGGGAATGAATGGGAAAGACTCACAGAAATCTCCGCTTGATCAGGTTAAAAGAACAGCAGAGAAAAGCTCAACTTTGGATCGTAGGACTAGATCCGAGACTGATAGTGACCCAAAAAAAGCCTCGTATGAAGGCTGTAGGAGTCATTCTGACAGTAGTGAACTTACTGACAACTCCACTAAGCAACAGAAAGCTCAGGCAATATCCGCCTTCTCTCCCCAAAGGAAAGAAATCCATCTCACCGAGACGACTGAAACATCGGTTAGGTCCTCTTTGGATGCTGATTATATGAGCAGCGCTAGTCAGAGTCCAGACTCTGTTATCCCCGCATATGACATTGCGGTCTCACACAGTACTGATTCAGAGGTCAACCCGTTGCCAGGTGTGCAACCATCGTCTGGGAGAGAGGATGTATTTCAGACTAGCCCAGCCTGGGATGCTACGGTGGACACTCAGATGCAGAGAGCCTTCGATGAGCCAGCGTCAGACTGTACTCCAGGTAGGGCCAGAACTACATGAGCTTTTGCTTTCCTATTTCTTCTCCTTGGCAGCCAGAGCCCTCTTCTCTTCCCATGAGCAAAATGCAACCATTATTCATTGTCTTGTTTTCACTTGTTTGTGATTTGTCTTGTCCCATCTTTCATTGTGTTTTACTTGTTTGTAATGTGTCTGTGTGTGTGTGTGTTGTGATGGTGTGTATGTTCATAAGTCAATTTCCCATCTGTGTTTGTTGAAATGCATCTCAAGATTGAATGGACACGTTGTTAAAGAAGTTGTCGCTTTAACAATGTTGATGCAGACTTCCATATTGGGATCTGCTCTTCTAATACGGCTTCACTAACAAGCACAATAATAGCAATGCTTTTCCTAATGATTTATAGCATGATGCGCTATTTGTGATCAGATAATACTAGTCTTTAAACAAGTCAACTTATCCTTAAAATGAAAAATCCAACCTTTGTGTTATCATCCATGAAGACATCGCATACCCTCATTTCATCTTTGAGTATTACAGCCGATAACATAGAATCTTCAGGAAATTGTAGATCTATACTTACAAAGTATATTACCTTGAATGGTACCTGCAATGTGAGAAAAGCATTACTTTGAGATAAACAGGTAGTAGTACTATACACCTTAAACTATATTAACGATGTTCAAATATTATGTTTGGCTCTGACGGCATTTTTTAGTAGATTGGCAGGATGATGCTGACCGGAAAGAGGAGACGTTGGCTATCGTTGCAGATCTTCTTGGCTTCAGCTGGACTGGTGAGCTGTCAAACAATGCAATCACTTTGCAAGTATTTTCTTTGGATTGGAACTGATGTATTTGTTTGCAGGACTGGGAGAATAGCTAAGAATGAATCCATCTTCTGGCAGAGAAACACACATGTTGTGGTTAATTCTTTTTTAACGTTCTAATCCCTTGTTCATTCTAGAACTGGCAAGAGAACTGGAATTCAGTGAGGTTGATATCCAATTAGTGAGAACAGACAATCCTAACTCCCTCCAAGAGCAGAGCCATGCCTTGCTGCAGCGCTGGGTTGAGCGGGAAGGCAAACATGCCACAGGTACATTGTGTGTAGGTCTGACAGATTTGAAGACATTGAACACATCTCCTGTGCAATTCAAATTCAAGACAATCGTACGTTTGAATCTTTTAATGTTTCTTTGGTGTTTTTTTTGAATACTTTTTAAAGTATAATAACGATTGATTAATCCTTCCACAGAGGATTGTCTGATTAAGAGACTGACCAAGATCAACCGCATGGACATCGTCCATCTTATTGAAACGCAGATGAACAAGTCGGTTCAAGAGCAGACATCTAGAACTTATGCAGAGATAGAGAAGACACTGGATCACAGTGAAGGTACTAACATCCCCAACAGTCAACTATGCAAATATCATGCTGTATTTGTGTGTCTGTTGGCACTCCCAACTCCTCATGTGTGTTTTTCAGTGTCAGTAGCCCTATCTTTAGTGCAAGATGATGCAGACAGCCCCAGAGTTGTGCGACGGGTGGAGTCCGACCGCAGACCACCCCCAGCTGTTTCTGAAGAGGACCTCTCCGTTGCTTCCCTGCTCGATATTCCCTCTTGGGCAGAGCCTGTTGGACACACCCTCTCCGACAGCATGCATGCTGACCTGATGGAGGAGCTTGAGATCCCACAGTTAGTAGTTTAATTGATTTGAAGAAACAGGTGTCACATGCAAGGAGATTGCCAATATGTACCCAGTGCCCATTGTGTGTGGGTGTTGCCCTTAAGTCTTGTTAGGTTACCGCTTTGACACCAATATATTTTGTAAGTAAAGTAAATCAATCAGCCTGCGTTTGACCTTTGGTGAAACGCGGAAGTATAATTTAATATCAACGGTGTTCTTGACTTACTATTGTTGACAATCATATCATCGAAGTCATACTTACTGACCATGCCTTCCTTTTGTGTTACAGTGAATTGAACCCTAACATGTGGACCTCTGAAGATGTAATTACAGAGGAAACTGCAAGTTACGACAACTTACATGAGCAAGTAAGTAGGCTTGCTACTAAAAACGAATCAGCACTGGGGAGCCAAGTAACTCAAGTTTCTGACCAAGAACTGAAAAACCAGCAAGATGGCAGCAGTGATGAAGTTCATGTCCCCATGCTGTTACAAGGTGGCACGCAGTGTCAAGTCCAACATGTCTGCAGCCAAAGCTTAACGTTGAAGCAGTGTGGTTGTGAAGCTGAAATTCTGAAGTCACCATCATCTATATCTATCGATGACTTTGGTTTGAGCCTATCGGAGTCAGACCAAGCTGAGCCTGACTTCAATGCGCTTTGTGATGAAATATTCTTTACACCACAGTATGCAGACACAGCTAAAAATCCGATCCTGTTCGACCAATCTACTCTGGCCATGCCTTGTTGCCTTGGTGTGAACATGGACTTTGAACCTTTCGAGTCAAGCCAGAGTGAAAATACAAAATCCCACGGTTACAGTGATGGTTATCTGGAAAACATGCCCTTCATTGATGATTTGATCGAACCTATTATTGCTATAGCCAAGTACAGCTTGGTGAAACCATTCGAAATGAAGGTACCAAACACCAATCTGCTACACAATCTGACAAGAGGCCATGCTCCCATGGCTTGTGACTCAACTGATTTCAACCAACTCGTACAACAATTACTTGAGAAAGATGTAACATTATGTTGCACTGTTGTAGAGAACAGCCCTTTGACCCCTAATTCTTTGGCAAATGACAAGCAATGTGGCTCTTTTTTAGCTGTTGATGAAATGGGTATGTTCCCTGTGAAGCCACGGTTATTAAACAACCCCGTAAGTAGACAATTGTCCCCCGAATCTTTCATGCCGATCAGTACTTACAGGGCAACGTCCCCTGACACTCTTCTGGGGGGGAAACGGGTATTAACTGAAGAATTTCCAAATATGTTGGATAGCAGTAGAGCACTCTCAGCAAGGTCTCCTTGTAGTTCACAAGATGTTACAATTAATTTCAGTGAAAATGAATTTGACCTCAGTCAATCAGAAACAAATGCATGTGCCCCACTGTTTGGTTTGAAAGATTTTCCTACAAACTCCATTCGTTCTGAGTCATTTGAGTATTGGAAAGACATCAAGCCATTGTCCCCTGACTGTCAAGTAACTAAATATAGTTTACCTATACAGGAAAGTTTACAGAAAAAGAGTGATTTCGGAACATTCTCACCAGTGACATCAGATATCAACCCTGATAAGTTCTCAGATTGCCGACCATTCTCACCAGATTCACAGACTTCTCAGTGCAGTTTCTCATTTCTTGAGCTCTTGCTCTCAGAACCTACACGCAGCCAACTTATGAGTCAATATTGTGATTATTATTTACTATATTCAGGAGGTAATCCACTCTCTGAACTACTTACCTCAGCTCCTTCCACAAATGAATACAATGAATTGGGGCAGGGGAGGCTGTTGACATCAGAATCACAAGCTTCCGATCACTTGCAATATTTTATAAATAATCCTTTATCACTTCTTAATGAATGTTTGGATAAAGAATGCACGGATGCACCAGATATATTGATAAGTTATGTAAAAGCCGAAAAACGGGAATCTGAAACCGCACATTCAACCGCCAAAAATCTTACACAAGCAGATGTCAAAAGCACCCAATTTGCAGATTCAGAGTGTTGGAGTCAAACATTGTCATCTGAAATACCAAAACAACAGAAAGGTATTAATCCATCGTTCCTTGATTACTGGTTTTCTAAGTTTGAACCACACTTACCTGAAAACATGCCATCCCAATGTCTGTTAAATAATGATTTAACAAACATTGCACAAGAATCCTCAGAGCACGATGAAATGCAAGATTCGGATAATTTGTATTGGTCGAAAGATTCATCCAAAAGACACCCGTGCTCAGATCATGAAAGCAACAAACAATTATCAGAAACCTGTCAAGGGCTCAAACAACCACCTACATCTGGACCAATGGTCTTTGAACTGGTGACTAGACCAAAATGCATTTTAAAGTTTACAAATAACTTTGCTCCAATGTCAAACTCGGAAAGAGTTTTAATTAGTGCTGGAAACAGTGAGGGTAAATGTGCACTTTTTGAGGATGGCTTAAAAAGAGTACGGAAGTCCCCTGAGTCAAGATCAGCATTGGAAGAGCCAGAGAAAGATTTATTCTGTAAAAAGACATTAGATGAAACCGGAAAGACTTCTCCAAAGTTTGCGTCCTTCCCTGAATCTGGTTTGTCATATGAACAGTTTTCTTTGTCTTCTCAAATCACATTTGGCCAATTGAAGAGTCAACATTGTAACTATTACTTACGGTACTGTGGAAGATGCACTGACTTGTCATCAAACAGTGTTTCGAGACACATCAGACCAAAGTTTGCGCAGTCCCATCAGTCAGACATTGAACAACATCAACTATTTAGTATAAGGGAATTGTCACCCGAATTCATGACTTCAGATTTTTGGATCCTGGAGGACTGGTTAACAGACTTCGGAGCATCCTCCCCAGAATCTGTGACTTCTCAACGTCCACATAGGCCCCTCTCTCCTGATTCACCGGTTCCTCAGTTCCAATCTTTCCCAATCCATGACAATGTTGAACTGTCTAGGAACCAATCGTGTACACCACAATCAACATTTTCGGATTGGGAAGGTAATGATTTTTCTTTGGAGCCCCGGTTTGATGAAACCCGACCAGAGTCCCCACAGTCATCTTCATCAGTCTTTGAACTGGACAAAGGCTTGAGTAACAGGGCTTTATCCCCGGAATCCATGTCTTCCGATTTTGACTATTCGCTCCTGCAGGACTGGCTAGCAGACTTCAAAGCATCCTCCCCTGAATCTGTGGTTTCAGTTGAACGGCACGCTTTTTCTACATCCATGACATTCAATGAGATAAAGGGTCAACATTGTACCTATTATTTACAGTATTCTGAAAGTAGACCAGTATCACCGTTTTCAGCACTGTCAGATGTTGAGCACCCTGAACCTGAGCTAGAGCAATTGTTTGATGGCAACAGACCTGAGTCCCCGGATTCACTTATTTTACAAGTAGATGCTAAACAAACAGGTATGAATACAACCGCGGCCCCATCATATCCCTCTGGAAGACCTTTTACATATGCAGATGCTGTGCGGGGCATTTCACATGACAAACCAGGAGACGCTTCTTTGGCTTGCAAACCGTTTGAGTTCATGCTTATCAGCCATCCATTGGTGTCGTCAGAGACGGAGTCCACTCACTCCTCCGTAGAGGACTGGCTCACCAATTTAAGACCAGCATCCCCCGAGTCAGTGGTGTCTCAAAGTGATGGTAGGCACCTCTCACCTGATTCACCTGTTCCTCAGTTTGGATCTTTCCTGAACAGTTATGCTCTGGAACCTTCGAGGTACCATTCCTTTACACCACAATCAACATGTTCAGACTGGGAAGGCACTGACTTGTGTCTTGAAACCCTGTTTGATGACACCAGACCAGAGTCACCTAAGTCAGCTTCATCAGGCTTTGGAACGGACAACTTCTTTAATAGTGGTGCTTCCCCCCGGAATCTGTGTCCTCCGATATTGACTATTTGTTCCTACATGGCTGGCTAGCAGATGTCAGAGCATCCTCCCCTGAATCTGTGGTTTCAGTTGAACGGCACGCTTTTTCTACATCCATGACATTCAATGAGATGAAGGGTCAACATTGTACCTATTATTTACAGTATTCTGAAAGTAGACCAGTATCACCGTTTTCAGCACTGTCAGATGTTGAGCATCCTGAACCTGAGCTAGAGGAATTGTTTGATGGCAACAGACCAATGTCCCCGCAGTCAAGTTCATCAGACGTTGAACTACATCAAGAGTTTAGTATAAGTGCATTGTCTCCAGATTCTGTGTCTTCACATTTGGGCTATTTGCTCCTTAAGGACTGGTTAACAGACGTCGGAGCATCCTCCCCAGAATCTGTGACTTCTCAACGTCCACATAGGCCCCTCTCTCCTGATTCACCGGTTCCTCAGTTCCAATCTTTCCCAATCCATGACAATGTTGAACTGTCTAGGAACCAATCGTGTACACCACAATCAACATTTTCGGATTGGGAAGGTAATGATTTTTGTTTGGAGCCCCTGTTTGATGAAACCCGACCAGAATCCCCACAGTCATCTTCATCAGTCTTTGAACTGGACAAAGGCTTTAGTAGCAGGGCTTTATCCCCGGAATCCATGTCTTCCGATTTTGACTATTCGCTCCTGCAGGACTGGCTAGCAGACTTCAAAGGATCCTCCCCTGAATCTGTAGTTTCAGTTGAACGTCACGCTTTTTCTACATCCATGACATTCAATCAGATTAAGGGTCAACATTGTACCTATTATTTACAGTATTCTGAAAGTAGACCAGTATCACCGTTTTCAGCACTGTCAGATGTTGAGCACCCTGAACCTGAGCTAGAGCAATTGTTTGATGGCAACAGACCTGAGTCCCCGGATTCACTTATTTTACAAGTAGATGCTAAACAAACAGGTATGAATACAACCGCGGCCCCATCATATCCCTCTGGAAGACCTTTTACATATGCAGATGCTGTGCGGGGCATTTCACATGACAAACCAGGAGACGCTTCTTTGGCTTGCAAACCGTTTGAGTTCATGCTTATCAGCCATCCATTGGTGTCGTCAGAGACTGAGTCCACTCACTCCTCCGTAGAGGACTGGCTCACCAATTTAAGACCAGCATCCCCCGAGTCAGTGGTGTCTCAAAGTGATGGTAGGCACCTCTCACCTGATTCACCTGTTCCTCAGTTTGGATCTTTCCTGAACAGTTATGCTCTGGAACCTTCGAGGTACCATTCCTTTACACCACAATCAACATGTTCAGACTGGGAAGGCACTGACTTGTGTCTTGAAACCCTGTTTGATGACACCAGACCAGAGTCACCTAAGTCAGCTTCATCAGGCTTTGGAACGGACAACTTCTTTAATAGTGGTGCTTTGTCCCCGGAATCTGTGTCCTCCGATATTGACTATTTGCTCCTACAT